GGGCCGCCCCATACTCCCACTTCAGGCTGGACCAGGCCAGGAGGTGCTGGGAGGGGTCTGCTGCCCTCCCAGAAGCTGCCTGTTCCAGAGGATCACTAGGACTTGCCGGGGGGGCCCGTCATGAGTGTGGGGTCAGGGGGCTTGGGGAAGCTGTCGGATCCTTAGCCAGGTGGGCAGTGTCAGCTGGCCCCCTGCACACTGTCAGTGCCGTGGGATTCCCAGCAGGGCAGTCACCCCAGCCCGGGTCCCTTCCCACAGTGCGACTGGCAACTAAGGGGACCGCGTGTGGGTTTCAGGGCTGCCCGGGCAGAATGTCACGATGGACGAGGGGGGTGCGCCCCTGCTCCCTGACAGCCTCGTCTACCAGATCTTCCTGAGCTTGGGCCCGGCCGACGTGCTTGCTGCTGGGCTGGTGTGCCGCCAGTGGCATGCCGTGTCCCGGGATGAGTTCCTGTGGAGGGAGCAGTTCTACCGCTACTACCAGGTGGCCCGCGACGTGCCCCGGCACCCAGGTCAGGGCCTGCACGTGGCCCCATGGTCCACCAGGCTGGCTGGGCGGGAGACAGGGCCATTCACATGCTGCCATCTGGACCACATGCTGCCATGTGGACCATCTGAAGCCACCACGCTGGCCCCCCACCGCCCAGATCTGCACAGCGGTCACCAAGGCACCGTGTGGCCCGCACACGGACGGGGGACAGCCAGTCCATGCCTGAGCACAGGGTCTGGTGGGGGGCGGTGGGGGAGGGGGGGACAGCCCTGCAGCTGAGGTGACTAGCGTCCTCCAGGAGCAGGGCTGGCCCCCATGCTGTCTGGGTGGCTGGCCTCTGTGGGAAAGGAGGCTCAGGGCCCCAGCAGTGACTGCCCCCCACCCCCCGCCCCCAGCGGCCACATCCTGGTATGAAGAGTTTCGGCGGCTCTACGACACGGTGCCCTGCGTGGAAGTGCAGACGCTCAAGGAGCACACGGACCAGGTCCTGCACCTCAGCTTCTCACACTCCGGCTACCAGTTTGCTTCCTGCTCCAAGGACTGCACGGTGAAGGTGAGCCCAGCCCGCCAGGGAGCAGCATCTCCGCTAGGACCTGGGGCTCATAGGAAGGAGGCCGGGTGGGGGGCCCTCACTGCTAATGGCGAGTGAGGAGCCCGACCCTGTGGACCCACACACCTCGGGTCTGCTGGCAGCCTGGGGCAAGGAGCAACATCCCAGTGGTGGTTTCTGGGCACGAGCTCAGCTGGGAGAGGGGCCTGCAGCATGGGCCCCCGTGTCACGTGCAGGGTGGGCACGAGAGGCCCCTAGATGACTGAGCCCCCACGCAGATCTGGAACAACGACCTGACGGTCTCGCTGCTGCACAGCGCGGACATGCGGCCCTATAACTGGAGCTACACCCAGTTCTCCCAGTTCAACCAGGACGACTCGCTGCTGCTGGCGTCCGGGGTGTTCCTGGGGCCCCACAACTCCTCGTCTGGTGAGATCGCAGTCATCAGCCTAGGTGAGAGCCGGCTTGTGGTGGGCGGGCTGTCTCGGCCAACCC